ACTGATATTATTAAATATTATTAAAATTGTTGTTAATACTATCAATTATCATTAATATTACTACTCATTTTTAATTAATATTAATATCATTATTTGATATTTAATATTATTAATTATTACAAATATTATTTTTATTTACTATTAAAATCCTTAGCAGTTTACTAATATTTTTCTATTGTGTATATTACAAAAAATAATATTATTGTTTTTTAATGATTAATGATATAGATTATTTCAAATGTTATAGTTGAGATGCATGGAATCAAATACAATGTGCAAACTGAAATATGCCACACCTTACATAACGCCCATGGAGGTGTAGTGTGGATCGGTCCACACATTTTTGTCCACGATGTAGAACAACTACCTTGTTGGGGTGTGGTGTATTTTCATCCACATCACACCCCACTACCCAATTTATCATCTATGCTATAGAACACCCACTTAGATACACAAGTACACAACTACAATAAGGTGACAAATATATTATATAAATTAAGAAAATCTTATATTATAAACAAATCAAAGAAAGGGTTTCAAGGTGAAAAAGTGCTATTCTAGCTTGCACACAATATTGCTGATCAGGAAATTAGAGGTATACAATTTTCAAAGAAGATTGTAAAATAAAAAAAAAATAGAAAGTATGGGATAATACTAAAAAAACATATGAACTTGTCATAAGTATGCGGTAGGATATGTGTGGGCTTTTGAGATTGACAATAGGCCAAGTAGAAGGAGTCTCCGAAATTTGTTAGTTATAAATAATAATAGTAGGTTTGTAATAATCATGGAAAAGGTCATTTTACAAATTTTACTGGTTTGAATGGGTCAAAAAAGTTTTTTTTTTTTTTTTTTGGCAAAAATAACAGGAAAGAGACTTACATGTGAATGCATACTAAAAAATGGAATTTAAAGCCAAAAATGGTTTTATTTGAATAAAATAACAGAAGAGGTGTGTATTGATTGCCCTAATCAAACAATCAAGCACAAAGTGTTTTTTCTTTTTTTTTTTATCAAAACCCATGTTTTAAGGAAACCAAACCCGAAATTGTAATTAGGTGGTTCAAACAATTTAATTATTTGGGTCATTGGTAGGTTGAAAACTCTAATTTTAACTGCTCGATAGTGTATTGATTCTTTGAATCTTGACACATATAAACCAATTACTTGTAGCAAATCATGCAGTTGTCCTTGAATTTTTTAATTGGTCTTTTGTTCTTATATTTTGGTTAAATTTCACCTGATTTGTAAGATATACTTTTGTATGTTAAACTTTAGTCTAAATGGAAGACCTTGTTTTCTTTCTTTTGGTTATTTTGTAACTAGAGTTAAATATGAAAACATTTTACTTTTAAAATTTATTTCTTCCAATAAATTTAAATTGGTAGGAAATACGATGTCATTTACTAAAGAAGTCTAGTTAATACCTCTTATTGCAAAAGAACGTACAGCTATCTAGCTTGGGTGATAATGGTTAAACTATATATAGCAGTGTATGAAATTTATACCTTGAAAAACATCCTCACCATAAGATGGTATTTTATGAATGTTACACGATTATTCAATAAAAAAGTGATAAAGGAAAAAGAATGAATTTGAATGTTCCCCCGCCTCCCCTCCTCAAAAAAAAAAAAAATCCTATTATAAAATTTTGGGAAGTTATTTATTATTTGCCATATTGACAAATATGCTGATCCTTCATTGGTCATTTTTCATTTTAATTTGATAAAATATCGAATTTAATTTGATAATGATATAGACTATGACTGCATAATTTACATAGTGTTTATGCAGCAAAAAAAAGTGTTTGCAAATCAAATTAACCAAAAAAAATAAAGTTGGCTAAGAATGTATAATAAATTATCTAAATATGATCACCTAAAACAATCAAATCACAAGCTTGACTATCAACCACTGGATAGATTAGACAGCAGCTGGCTGAATTCATTGATAGCTGGAAACTGCCTTTTTATTTTCAGCAATTAATGTAGAATATATGCAAAGAAAAAGTGTATTGCGTAACTGCATACGGAAGTTTGTTTGGCTTTGACTTATTTAGTTTCCTTTTATTTTTTTTGAAAAGGCCGGGTTAGGTTCCATGTGTTTTTTGGGTCTATTTAATCCCACAAATAATCAAATATGATATGTCTAACCCATTAAATCGATATCATGAAAGCTTTATGTTCAAATAGTCCAAATTAATGGCGTTAAAATCTTTTTATCATATCATTTTAAATTTTTAACAAATTCCCTGCCGCTGGTGTGATGTTGGAGAATGGAGTTTGCTTTTGTGGTCCTTGATGGAATCTAACAGCTTGGAATCATTAGTACGATTGCCACTTGTCAATTAGTCATTTGAAAATGGCGATACAATACAATTAATTTTCATGTGTACACTCTGTATTTCCATCATGTTGTGCTAAATTGTTCTTATTTGTTTTGCGCTATCTATTAGTAATTAAGTTGTGAAAGAAAATTTCATAGTTTTACCATCATAACAGCTATGCAATGCACTGAGCTAACGTCCTAAATCATGTCGATTAGGGAAAGTTATTAATGACCTGAAATTCCAGATTTTATCCAGAGATGGCCAAACAGAATCTGAAGGCATCAATTCAAATATCGATAAAATATGAAGCCATCAATTCATTATATTGTCATTTAATTTAGCTTATTTTAGTTACGTTCTGTATAATTTTCTGTGCACATCATCCCATTTTAACTCAGGTTTCTTTTTCTATTCGGTTTTTTCAATGTAAGACAAAGACAATTTTAATTATATTTTTTCACTACTTTAGCAAAAAAAAAAAAGAAAAAAAAAAAAACTTCGTAGGAAAGTAGGAATGCACGCAACAGCATCCCAATGATCTGAACGTTAGATCGTGCAAGATAATTCCATGCCCTTTTCTTTAGAACAAACAAAAAAGAAACGGAAAAGAAAAATTAAAACAAAAAAGTTTGTGAAATTGTTGCTAGGAGCCTATGATTTAATGGGAAAAAGGAGAAGAAAAAGTGGAATTGAATGGTTAGTTGTAACCTGTACGCCTAGTTAGCAACTATAGTTGAAAAATGAGGAATTGAACAAGAAAATTAAAGAAGACGTATTACACAAAAAGCAGGAACTAATTAAAACTAAGCCTTCTTCACAAATCAGAATTAAGCACGTATTGTTGTTATATTTTGCTAAAAGTTAGTATTATGAGGAAAAGCATTTCCTGTGCAGTAACAAACATGTGGAAAATGATGATTAAAATTAACCAATCGAGGGCTTGTTTGGTGGTGTATTAGCTGGGTTGTTCTAGCATTGATGTCGAATCAAGTCCCACAACCAGAAATTTGGGTTGTTTTAGGAAACAATACAAATAAATGTGAATGTAAATATGTAGAGTGTAAAATGATTCATATAAATTGTAAAATTGGATTAATTTTACACTAACAAATTTATCTTCTTACCAAACAGATTTTTAATTGTAATGGATATAAACATGAATTCCAATAAAACATATGCTTTTCTTTTATCAAAAACCCACTTGAACATAAATTTAATTTTCTTTTATTGATGTACTTTTATATCTTATTATCAATATGAATATGCATTAATCTGTCATTTATCGATGCATAAACATAAACATAATTTTGCCAACCACATACAAAAGCAATCCCAGCCCCAAGTGATTAGTGTTGTTTGAGTAATGTTATTTGGTGCAATGCAAATGAATACAGCAGCCGTGGTTGGTTTTTGTTGATGCCCAGTGCCCAATATGAGTTATTCGAGCCCGATCCACGGGTTGCAGCAATGACTGACTTCACAATCACCTCCCTCTGCTACCTAACCTACCAATCATAGTATAGTATCATACTCAAAAATGCAGATTCCAGACCATCGTCACAAGGGCATTTTTGTCAATGTATACATGAAAAGTAAGGGTGTTTTTGTAATATTCCTCTTTTTATTGCCAAAGATAACCTTGTCTGGCGTTTTACGCGTGTAGAATCTCCACGTGTAGCCAGCGTGGAATTCTGTACAAGTTGCAAAAGGGTGGACGGCTGGAGGCTGGTATGTCACGCTCTTACCCCCACCAAGAATTAGAATCAAGTTCTAGGGGGTGGGGGGTGGTGGAGGATGGCTTATTTACGATTTTAAACTTTGAGAGAGAGAGAGAGAGAGAGTCACGTTCACGCTTCACACATCACCGGCTTCTAAAATCAGTTTGGGGATAACTAAAACTAATGAAAATTAGGGTAACGTTTTAATGGCGAGATAGCGACTACCGCGATAAATTGGAAGCCACGAGGCCCACGTCCACGAGGGAGACGTAAGAAGAACGGAGTCCTCTCATCTCATTCCTCTCATTCTCTCTAAGTACAAGGCCGTTTCTCCATGGACACGTGCCGACTGTCTACACGTTGCGGCACTCCGACCATTATCTCGGAGACGGCAACTAGCGGGAACCCTTGGCCTTGGCGGGGCCCACCTTCTCTCTCTCTCTACGAACAAAAAGAAATAAAATTAATTAAACTTTTTATTAACAATTAAAATAAATAGAGGCCAGACTCCATAGCATACTGAGAAGAGAAGTGAGGGGGGATAAAGGCCCAGGTACATAGTCCGGAAGGCCCAACCCAGAGCTTCCAGATTTGGGGCGTGATTTGCAGAGAGAATCGAAGCACGACGAAGAAGAAAAAGAAGAACCGAGGAAGAAAGAAANGCGGGGGGGTGATTTGCAGAGAGAATAGATATCGAAGCACGACGACGAAGAAGAAAGCGAAGAAGCGAAGGAGAAAGAAATATAAATTATAAAAATTCCGATCAAGGCCTCCTTCTATCCCAATCTGTAAGTCCACATCTCTATGTTCTTTTTCCTCTTCCTCTGAGATCTCCAATCCCATCCCTTCCCTCAGACCAAAAATAAATTTAATAAATAAACAAATCTTTCTATAAAATTTAACAACAAAGAACGGATCCTTTTTTTCCCTTCCATTCTTAAAGAAAGAAAGATAGAACGACAGAAAAAAAAAAAGATAAAATTGATTTAATTGTTCAGATCATTTCGGGTTACAGGGTCGTATCGGGCCAGCCGACATATTTCTTCTTTATTGCTAGAACCTAGAAACCGGCTTTGGTGAATTTTCGTGTCTAGGGATTTTTCTGACTGTTTGTTCGTGAGCTCTTTTTATTCTTATCCTTGTTTCTAATTGTTCTGATCTCTGGATTCTTCCTCCCTTTACGAATTTGGAGCCTGAAGATGGGTTTCTGATTTCTTCCTTTTAAAAGTTTTCATTCTTCTCTCCTTTGGATCGGTGATTTTTGGATTCGCATCCATGAACGATTGAAAGTTGGAAACTGTTTGAATATTACTTTCTTTCCATTCTCCTTTTTCTTTTAATTGGCATTTCTGGGTTGTTTTGATATCGTCAAATCTATGTACAATTAGGGCTCTTTGATCTCATTCTGCTTGAAAGGTTGCATTTTTCCTGTCCGAATCGGTGGTTTTTGGATTCGGGGGAGTAGCTCGAGCGTTAGGGCTTCTATTCTTAACTGATTTATTTCGGATACCATTTTGGTGAGAAGGAAGGAGGCCTTGGGTTGGTAGGATTAAATTTACTGCTCTTCCCGGTTGAATTCCGGAGACATGTTAGAAGGTCAGTCCTGTCTGGTCTCGAGGGCGTTGCCGGGCACCTGTGAGCAAGACAGTAAGTGGGTTTACATGACTTATCGTCTTATCGAGGTCTCCAAAGGCAAGCGCCGTTTAGAAGACGATGGGCGAGAAGAACCTGTGGAGAGGAAGTCTTCCAAGCGAATTGATGCGCTTGAGAAAGAGGAAATGACCCAAACTCTGCAAGATCCTTCCCCGTCTACCATGGATGAATCCAGTAACAAAGGGGACCATGGGGATCAATCTGCAAGATCTTTCCCCGTCTCCAATGGCAACCGCCGTTTAGAAGACGATGGACAAGGAGAACATGGGGAGAACAAGTCTTCCAAACGACTTGATACTCTTGAGAAAGAGGAAACGACCCAAACTCTGCAAGATCTTTCACCGTCTCCTGTGGATGAATCCAGTAACGAAGGGGACCATGGGGATCAATCTGATTTAAATTCCCTCATCCAGCCCATAGGGCGGGACATGTCTATCAACTGCCTGCTTCGCTGCTCGAGGTCTGATTATGGTTTGCTTGCCTCCCTAAATCGGAGCTTCCGGTCTCTATTTCGAACTGGAGAGCTATATAAGCTGAGGCGGAAGATGGGTGTTATTGAACATTGGGTTTATTTCGCATGTCACCTCCTTGAGTGGGAGGCCTTCGATCCCATTCGTCGTCGCTGGATGCATTTACCAAGGATGCCTGCAAATGAATGCTTCATGTGCTCTGATAAAGAGTCTCTGGCAGTGGGCACAGAGCTTCTTGTATTTGGGAAGGAAGTTAGATCTCATGTCATATACAGATATAGCATTTTGACAAATTCCTGGTCTGCCGGCATGAGGATGAATGCCCCTAGATGCTTGTTTGGGTCTGCCAGCCTCGGGGAGATTGCAATTCTTGCTGGGGGCTGCGATTCAGAGGGGAACATCTTGAGTTCGGCAGAACTATATAATTCAGAGACTGGAACTTGGGTGACTCTCCCCAGTATGAACAAGCCGAGGAAGATGTGTTCCGGAGTATTTATGGATGGGAAGTTTTATGTTATTGGGGGAAGCAACCAAGAGGCACCACTTACCTGTGGAGAAGTCTATGATTTGGAAACAAAGATGTGGACTGAAATCCCTAACATGTTCCCTGGACAAAATGGTGCAGCTGGGGGAACGGCACCCCCTCTGGTTGCAGTGGTAAATAATGAGCTTTATGCAGCTGATTATGCAGAGCAGGTGGTGAAGAAGTATGTAAAGAGCAGAATCTTGTGGGATATCGTGGGTAGATTACCTGAGAGGGCAGTCTCAATGAATGGTTGGGGGCTTGCATTTAGAGCATGCGGGGATCGGCTTATAGTTATCGGCGGTCCAAGGGCTTTGGGTGGAGGGACCATAGAGCTCAATTCATGGTCCCCTAAAGACGGTGCACCGCAGTGGGACCTTTTGGCTTGCAGGCCATCAGGGAGCTTTGTCTATAATTGTGCTGTAATGGGGTGCTGATGTGTCAAGTTTTGGTGACACCATTTGTAATGTACGGGTTCCTCACATTGGATGTACAAGATTGGTTTGTTGAAGGGATAGTTTCTGGCTAATGGGTAATCTCTCCCTTTTTCTTTTTATTTTTCTGAGAAAAATTCAGATTTAACTCAAGATTCAATGGAATGTTTTCTTGTAAGGAGGTCTTTAGTTTTCATTTTTTCTATTGTTCTTATTTTATTGTCTCCATTGAATTTGCATCTTCTACTGTTTTCTGTTTCCACAAAGCTAATCAGAGGTTCGCATCATGTAGAACAGAATAGGTTGGTTAATAATGATTCTCCTACACATTAGTAGATTATTGGGAACATCACAGAATCTTTTAGGCATTTGAAAGTTTTCATCTTAATTCTTAATGTGTGGTTGTGTTTCTCCTTAAGAGAGTTTTTTTTTTTTTTGAAAAAAAAAATTCTCTTTTTCTTGGACTGTGGTTTATCTGATGGTTGCATTTATTTGTGTTATAACATTTTTGAGTTATGAACATCTAAATGCACAGCTGTATCTCTAGATGTTGTGTGCTGTTTCTGGCTCTATTTTGGGGTTTATGTGTGCACATTTATTTCTAAATTTATCAAGTGGAAAGATGGATAGCAACTTATGTAGGGTTTTCATTATCTTTTCCTTCTCCATTGACAGGATTTATCAATAATATTAATTATTTTGAGATTTCTGGTATAAGGTGAAGAGCCTAAAATTTAGTTGATGATATATAAGGCCTCAAGCTTGAATTTCAGGATATCTCTGTCATAAAATATGGTTTTCCAAGTGCACATAGAATTATCCTTGCAATTTGTTCTCAACTGTTTATTCCTTCAATCCTGCCAATCTGGTGCATGCTTCTTCATTGTTTATAGATAAACTGACCATCTATTTTCTACCAAGTTCTTATTTGTGGTCATTCCCTAGGATATTCCCTCTACCCCAAGTGATGTTTTTTCTCACCCTAGCTTCTGTTTCAAATGATCTAGTAATTGAAGTTATCTGGTAAGCTTAAGAATGTTTATAGATCTAATATAATCTTGCTATTTTTTGTCACTATAGAATGGTTTAAGGGAAATAAATGGTGATGTAGCAGAATTAAAGATACTTTTGTTGAAAAGCTTAGCAAACTTATAGATTGAATTTTGACAATACCCCTTCCAGATTATGCCTTTTCCAGCTAAAACCGATGTATATACTTAGCATGCCGCCAAAGTATATGGATATGTATGCATAAGATGTTATGCCATATTATGTGTTTTCCAGCTAAAAGGATGCATATAATTACATGGATAATTGTTGTTACATAAATTTGAATTCCTTTCTGCAAAACCTGCTATCCAAAGTAAACTATAGGATTTTGATTTTGTTATAAATCTGTGGATATTTTAAAGTAGGCAATATCTACAATGCTGAAAGGTATGATGCTGGAAGAGCCTTGACCAATCACAACCCCCCATGACTTTTGATGAATACCAGCTCATTGGTACTACTTTATGCTACCAGTTGATTGATTATCATTTCTTCAGTTATGATGCCTTTTCTGTGTCATAGTCAAACTCTTTAAAGCAATGGTGCATTCTGTATGTTAAGGTTAGGTGTTTGACTGCCGTTGGTAATCTGACCAAAACTTATTTTAGGATGCACAATCTTATAAGGACATTGTGTTGTGACTAGACTTTCCTCCTAACTGTTCAAATAGTGAGTTGAAATCTTGGAGTGACTTGTACTGGACAGGTTTGTAAAAACATGTTCGAACATCTTGATGTTGATAATACACGTGTTCTGTAGTGTGAGAAAAGCAAAACTAGGGTCTTCTATGTTTGGTTACTTCATGTTACATGGCTTCAGAACTAATGGATGTTTAAGACTTTAAGTAGAATTAAGATGGCATCTGAAGATTCTGGACCTTATAATTGTTTTTGAGTACCGATCCCTTTCACTTCAGGACAGGAAGCAGAGCAGCAATGCAAGGGCCCTTTTTCTTGCATGCAAATTTTTAATCTCTTGTGCTGAAATGGGTGGCTTGTCATTCATGCTTCTCTTCTTAGCCTGTTATCTTCTTTCTGCTATTCTCCAATATATCAATCTTTGTCTGGCTATTAATCAATGACCCTGCACCTATGAGGTAGCACTTTTGACAATGCTTAACATGTTGTTTCTTTCATTATTGCTTAACCACCACTCTCTTTTCCTTTCTGTAATTTTTGTCCTATCTGATGATCCATATGTATTTTTCACTCCTGTTTTGTTTAGTGGAATGATCCTGAGATCCCATTCTGATTGGCTCTACAAATTTTCAATCTGATGTCCGGAGTGATGATTCTCGGTATAGTATGCTACTTTTGGGTCTTGCTTTGACCTCATGGAGCTTTTACAGCGTGGTAACTGTAATTTTTTATTAATGGATATTTGGGTAAATTACAGATAGGTATCCTGTACTTTGGGGGTAGTGACAGATAGATACCCTGAAATTTAAATTGCAACACTTGAGTACGCTGAACTCTCAAAAATAGATATTTGGATCCATCCGTTAGTATTTAAACATTACATAATGTCAAAAATACCTTTTTCATGTTTTTTTAGATAATTTTTTTAGAGTAAAATCAGCGCTAGAGAATGCCATCGTTGGGAAATTTGAATCTGTTATTCGCTGTATATGTGAGAACATCATCGTGGGGGAGACGTTCGGTTACATGAGAATGATATCAGACATACATGAGAAGGGTATTTTTGGCATTATATAATGTTTAACTGACAGAATACTAATAGATGGACCCAAGTGTCTATTTTTGAGAGTTCAGGGTATTCAAGTGTTGCAACGTAAAGTTAAGGGTACTTATCTGTAATTTATCCTAGATATTTTACTTGTAAGGTGCTCCAAGGGAGGATCGAAGCTTTGATGGTTAACTTAGATCCATTTTTGGCATAGATGTCGGACTGGGTGTCCTCAGTTAATATATAGCTAGCATGTATAAATTAATACAAACAGGCAACAGCAAATTAGAAGTGAGGAAGTCCTGTGCTAGTACTATACTATGCTAGTGGGAGTCGAGCCAATACACAGCCATTGAGTCTTGTAAGTTTTTAGCCACTCGGTCCTTGATCGTTGATTAATGGGTTCGTGGTGCTGTTAGATATCGTTACCATTAGCCCCCCTCCAGGACTTAAATTACTGCATTTATTGCTGCTTCAGCTTGTGTAGGCTTAAGTTAGTGGCATATATTTTGGGTAAATCTGAGCTGTCCCTGTTCCTGCCCCTGCTCATCAGTTCTGAAACACCTCAGTCCTCCTCACCTACCGGAAATTCAGATCCCAGGTCTGAAACTCCTCAAACCTACTCTCGTCTTGCCGTTAAAAATGAAAATCAAAACAAAACAACAGAGGACCTACAAATGTAATGCATTCTTGGTTACAAGGACGTAAGTTCCATTAACCACCCTACAACCTACGGCAGGTAGACTAACTGTGAAATGGGCATTCCTCTTATTTCAGCCGGATCTCATCTAGTTAAGGGAAAGGGGATGGGCTACCCCTGTTATGTAGTCCCATGAAGCGAACAAAAAAACTACCCTTTTTGAGTATTCGAGTCCTTTATTTATTTTTTATGGTAGGCGTAGGGCCATCAGCCATCCAACCAAACCGGTTTCACGTCCACTACTCTTGAAGACTCTCTCATCTTCTTCATTGGGCTAATATTTTTAAGTAGTTTTCTCAAATAAACTACTACCTAAATGCCACTAGGGACAGGGTTGGCCACAACATTAGGACGTTTGGAACTTGTATTTATAACCTGTTTAGTTTAATTGGATATGGCGAGCAAATATATGTCTTGAATTTTAGTACGTAGTTCTGAATTATAAAACCCCAAAATCAAAATTGGTTGGAACACAGACAAATAGAACTTGGAACTCTCTTTCAATGGTATGTCCCGACTCCTTATTTGATTTTTATTTTTTTAGTACCAAGGTCACGTCCTTACATTATTGAGCCCCCGTATGCGGTATGCCCTTTTATTGTTGTGATTTTATGATCACAAGGCTGCAACTGGTCTCAATTTTTTATATTCCTTTTGAGCCGCGCTGCAACTATATGTGAACAGTTTTCTTTCGGCTGTGAATTGGACATCCAGATCCTATCCTTCTCAGTTCTCCTATCCGACAAAAAATATTAAATAAAAAGGAGAGGGGAGGGGGAGTGGAGCCGTGGAGGAGGTCTAATGTCCAAAGTCCAAACTATTAAATAATGATATGGTGAGGTTGAGGTTGATACCAACGCATAACACAATTATCAAAATATTAATATGTTTGCTTCATCGATTCAGTGGTATACATACACCATAACGTCGGGAATTTGGGTTGGAAATTCAAGAGGCAAGAAAAAGAAATTATCAATATGACCTGCAGATCCCCCAACCGTTGGGCTGGTCTGGGCTTGTCTCATACTTGGCCTATCTTAACTCATCCTGATCAAAACTTCCGACTTAAGACCAGTCCGCCGAGAGGCCCCAGACTCGGCCCATCCTCGTCAGATTGATCAGATTGATATTTCATCTGTAGGGATGGCAACTTTTACCCTATCCTGGTACCCGTCCTTACCATTCTCGTCAGGGTGGGATTTTTTGCTTGAAGGATAGGTTTTGGGATTCTATAACACGTACGGGTACGGGTAGGGTATAGTATTAGGCTAAATCTGACCCTCCCCAACTTGTATATTTTTGAAAAACATATATAAAGTTCATGTATTAGGTCTTGAATTTAATAATATTTTGAATTTTACATCAAGGAAAATAATAGAAAATTAGATGTGGATTCTAAACCCAACCTGCCCCTACCCTTGAATGCGAAGAGGGTTTGGATTCTCAAAATTCAACCCGTTACAGGTTTTGGGAGGGTACGAGTTAGGAGGTAGGTAGGGTCTAGAATTTACAAAACCCTCATTGAACCTGCTTTGCTGCTATCCCCTACTTATCTGTAGGCTGTAACACAGCCGATGAATTTGGATTTGGATTTTGCAAAACCATCCTCACAGCCCTTGTAGCCCTGCATTGAAAATATTTCTGTACTTGTATGTTTTTATTTAGGATAAATAACTTACACCTCCCTTAAATTTTCTCCTAAATACTGAAACATCCCCTACTTTTTTAAATTGGACTAGAGCCTCCCCTATTATATGATGTTATCGGACAACAACCTCCCCTCCGCTAACAATCTCTTTACATCCATTGACACGTGACTTCATATGCAGGTTAACTTTTTCTAAAACCCAATCTTGCCCTTCCTCATCGCTTTGCCTTTAGTTATTGTGTACTTTAATCTGGGTGTAAACCTCCTCAAGTATTATTTTCATGTTTTAATGCAGAGCCATTGCCATCTTTTTCCTTTACTTCACTCCCATATACTTGATTCTTTGTAAGTCAGAAGAACAGATTCATCTTATTCTATTTCAAGAAGTTAACTTTCAACTGGACCTAAATTCGTTGCTGCAGATCTAACAAATGTCGTGGAAAGATTTTCCCTTCTCATGTTGATTTTTGCATTATCACTTGCTTTTTCTCAGGTTTCTCATGTCTTTCATTCACTGTGAAATTTGTATGGTTTCTACTATCTCTGCTTTGCTATCATCTAACTTTCCTGATACAGATGCTTCTTCAAGACTGGGATTTGTTATCATTGGAGCTATGTTAACAAATATTGCCCTTCTTTCTAGGATTTGAAACAGAAAAAAAAAATTACCTTTCCAACGATAGCATTGCCGAGGGTAAAAATTTCTTGGAAGAATGAGCAATCAGCCTAGATCACAATTTTATAGCCCCATAGTACAGGGGAAATGCATCCTAACCATGAATTGAATTGATGCCAAATTCACGAATAGGATGTGGTTTATAGGGGGGAGAGGTCTAGTAGTAGAGGGGGGGAGGGTCTGGAATTCAGAATTCTGCATCGAGTCTTTCCGTACTTCTCCGAAATTTCTTCCTTTCCCACCTAGTAACAACCTAAGGGCATGTAGCAGTTGCATCAGAACTATTTATACATCGGATTTGCATCTTATGATCTTATCTATTTTACAGAATACAGATTAATATACTTTGTCTTGGTCATTAGACTAAGTGAACATCTAGAATGGGAATTGATTTACATATAGGCTAACGTTGCGGACTCAATCCTGATGGACCTGATCATGTAAATACTCTTGCTACCTATCAAAAAATAAAATGTAAATACTCTTGCACGAAAGAATTCTTTGTTTGCAGATATAAGAGTCTCATTCATGCACGGAGTTATCTAATCTCGTTTCTTTCCTTAGGTTATGGTTTGAATGGGTTGATTAAAAAATTTAAACAATGAAGGGCAAAAAAGTATTTTTATTGATTCTATTAAATATAATGGTATCTTGTTTTAAGAGGGGAGGTTTAAGATGACTTGGGATCTGCTACCCACAAGTTGTACCCACATTCATACCCACAGAGCACCACCACCATGTATTGGGAACATCTCCCCATGAATGACAAGGGAGATATTCCCATTGTGCATTTGTCATGTCTCGTGGGTAGAGATGTGGGAACATCTGGTGGGTAGAAAATCTGAGCTCCTTTAAGACCTCTCAAAAATTAGAGGGGAGGTCTAAGCATTTATCATAAAACTTAGGGGATGTTTAAGTCTTTTACCCTTTTATTTATAGGGTGATATTTCCAATGAATGGCTGCGAGGGGCTGTGAGGATCAAATTCGAATTCAGCCAGAATTTGGATTCAGTCTTCACACCGTCCTTGCAGCCTTTTCTAGTGTACATCAGAAACATCTCTATGCTTTTATATTTTTATTTGGGGTAAATTAGAGATTAATACCTTGTATTTTGGGGCTAGTCTCACTTTAATACCCAAATTTCAAAATGTGCCATGCAATATTTTAATTCCCAAAATCATTAAGCGTCGTTAAGTGGCATGTAAAAGGATACAAATGCCCTTTAAGTGTCATCTAATTTCTTTTTTCAACCAATCATCCTTATTTTTGATAACAAAGACAAAAATCACCACTCCATCCGTCAAACCACTACTTATAATAACTTCCACTCCAGCCCAACATGGCTGCACAGTTGCACATTACAGGAGAGTACTACGTGAGCTTCCTCCAGCAACTGCATCAGCACTTGATTTAGAAAATGAAAGACACCTTTCCAGATTGTCTCTCTTGTCATTGAACTATTGGACCTTCTTCAAGTTCGTTGCATAATTCGCAACCTAAACAAACAAAACTTAGAACTTAAGATAATACAAAACAAAGAAACTTAACACAAGTATTTATATTTATAACTTCTCAAAAAACAAACTAGTATTTATAATCTGTTCACCTTGATATACTCAAGGAGTTGCGATCTGCTCTTCACACAAGACACACTGACCTCACAGGCACATCTTACCATGCATTGAGAATATTTCCCGTGTATAATAAGGTAGAAGTACGGGAGATATTCCAAATGCATGGTGAGATGTGCTTGTGAGGTCGGTGTGAGATGCCCTATGTAAAGAGCAGATCCGGTCTCATACTCAAGAGGAAGCAGAGACCGAAGCGACATGTAAGGGTAGCCATTTCTTGCTTTCTTTGTTGCTCGATGTCTATGTAAAATCTTCTTCGCATCATTAGTGGTCTGAGAAGTCAACTCTGCTGTTATGCCGTTGACTTTTATGCAATTTGTCAGTACTGTTGTCGTCCAAAGGAGGGTCTACTAGAATAAAATCTTGGTGTGTAACAGTCTTTTTGAACCGTCTTTGACCTAGACAGTTGGACAGTTCAGCTTGGAAACTATCGAGGCAACTGTTCCATTTCACCGTTGATTCGTTTCTAGGCCCAAATTGTTGGTTTGGTCAAAGAAATGTTGGCCTGAGTGGTCAAACCATTGGCCCAGACAACGATTCATCGTTTAATAAGGAAACAGATTGTTGAAAGATGGATAGGGACTAAGACAAAATGATCTTAGATGAGAGATCACCAAGATCCTAGAGAGAGAGATTGGAGAGAAATGACAGAAGCAAGATTGGAGTGGAGAGATCTCGGATCTGAGATCTGAAATGCAAGAGGGATATGAATGGATGTGCCAACTTGCCGTTGTGTTTTTATTGCCATCGCGGTCACTGTCACCGGTGAATGCTGGAACCTCCTCCTTTTCTTCTCCTTCCCTCTTTCCTTTCTTTCTTTCTTTCTTTTTATTTTCTCATCCGACAAGCACCTGTCTTACCCTCTCTTCTCATACAAGAAATACAACAACATACATATCTGCCCTAATCTAATCATTTTGTCTGAATTATTTGATCCAAACAATTAAACCCTTGGCCCAGAAACCAGTTGCCATAGCGATTTTGCTTCCGGTCGGTTTTTAAAACCTTGTTGGGTGATGTATTGTTGAGTGGAGAGAGGGAGTTCTTTATCAACCAACCATCATGTACCTGGTGTTCATTCAATCTTGAACTGAACCCACTACCCAATCACAAGAGTTGGCTACTAAGGCCATGTTTGGTTCAATTCTCATTCTTACCCAAGATGAAATTCTAAAATGAAAAAGAATGGGTAAAAATAGGCAGAATGAGAAAATATTGCTATGAACCAAACACTTTTTCTTAAAAAATGAATTCTTTTCAAACTAACAAGTGTTCTATGTTACTCATTTAGATTCTTAAAAAAAAAGTGATAGTCATTGTTTACCAATTGGCATAAATGTTTTCTAAAAGTACTTTCGTAAAAGTRCTTTTGTAAACTTTTATAGAAGTACTTTCGTAAAAATACTACCATAAAAGTGCTTTCGTAAAAGTGCTTTTGTAAACTTTTATAGAAGTACTTTCGTAAAAATACTACCATAAAAGTGCTTTCGTAAAAGTGCTTTCATGTAAAAGTACTTTTGTAAAAGTTAGGGTTGTTCATAAGAAGACCCAACCCGACCAAACCGACCAACCCGGACCGACCCAACCCAATTTGGCCGAGTTTTCTTCAATACCGGTCGGTTTCTTCAATACCGAAACCGAAACCGACCCGAACCAAACCGACTTAGTAGTTAGTAGTTAGTTCCTAGTTAGTAGTTACAACCTACTTACTTCCTACTTAACTAAGTTGTCTCTATCCTAGTTACAACCTAACTTAATTTCTAGTCTTCTAGTTAGGAATGACATTAATGGCAAGTATTGTAAGACAACTAGACAAGGAATTTTTTTGGAAAAGTTTGAAGAAAAGAATCAAATGATCGTAGTTTCTATGGTCTTTTACACCAAATAGACAATCAATTACAATTATAATTAGGTGTCATTTTTTACTTAGATTAGAAGGTTTCTTGAAATTTATAAATTTCAGTCTTCTTTCTCTAATACAGTTTGACTTTTTATTTTCTTGATAACTTCTATTCTAACTTGGTCCACCCCCCTTAGCCCCTCAACTCAAGCACAAAATCTCTAATACAATTTGACTCTCAAGCATGGTTGAACTTAGAGCCGAAACCGACCCAAACCGACCCAACCCGACTCAAACCGACCAAGTCAGTTTTGCTTAACACAGGGTCGGTTTCGGTTTCAATTTTAGGTAACCCGACCAGGTTGGGTCGGTTGGAAAAATCTCAATAAACCAACCCAACCCGACCCATGAACAGCCCTACTAAAAGTGCTTTCATGTAGTAGTTTTATAAAAGTGCTTTTGTAAAAGTACTTTTATAAAGTGTTTTGTAAAAGTGCTTTTGCAAAAGTAAACATCTATGACAACAGTTTTATAGGTAAAATTTCTTAAAAGAATGAAATGAGCAAGATGGGACATGATTATTTTTCATGCACGGGCTAGTCGATTTTTGTGTTATGGGGCTGATTTTTTATTATAAAAAGAATGTAACTGATGATGCACAATCTGGCCGGTCTTAGCTGTTGACGACCTTGCCTCTGGAGTGGGTAACAGGAACCTGAAATGGGAGAAGAGAAGCTCCGGGGAGAACCCGGCGTAAGGGCTCCGAAGCTCAAGTTAGAATCCTTTAGAGGCAAGAATAACCAGATAGCGCGAGAGTTAGCATACCTCCTCCCTGGGGGGTAGAATCCTTTTAT